AGAACAGAATGAACCAGAGCCTTATCCTACAGCTTGTTTGATAGAGATTATTTAAGGAGGCATATGGTATAGTTAAATGTGCTTTCAAAAATGCTGGCCAGAATCTTCTGGCAAATATGAAATAAATATCTACATCAGATGAATCTGATAGTATTAGTTCTCTTAAAAGGCAGTGTGGGAAGACACTTGACAGCGTTTTTAGTAAGAAGTGGAGGAATATCAGCGAATGTGGAAAATTTTAATCATCTGGTGCTGATGGGTCATTGAGATGAATGGTATGAAAGACTTGGGATTAGAGCCTGAATTGATAATAGAATCTTTGTTTTTGTATTTTCCTCCAGATTGTTATGTTTCTAATATAATAAATTTTCCTGGAATAAATTGATTAATTTCATTACTCTTTCTTGGTTGGACAAATTCAGCCTTTAACCTACCTTCTTACATGAACACTTCTTTTCAATATACCTGTGTATTATATGTACATCTATATAACCTCTCACTCCATTGTTTCAGTAGGCGGTGATACAGTCCCAACTTTATTCTTCTGTTTTCTCTGATGAATGAGACTTTAATTTACTTATTTTTTATCATGGATACCATTTCATTTTTTTATGTCTTTATTTTGGATATAAACATTGATGCATTAAGGCTGAGGACCTGCTCTGTTTTTCTATTTCGCTACCTGCCCTTCAGTGGTGGAACTTTTATCTTTTCTTCTACATGGTGTATTGCTTTCTGATTACATATAAAAATGTGATAAATTCACCTAATCTGCATTGTATTTCTATTTTAAATATTATATTCCGTTCTGGAAATTGTCTTTTAAGAGGGATAACAATTTAAGCCAATCTATGGGTGGCCAACAAGATGTTGCTAAGTATGGAAATAATAAATAGGATGAACTTTAAAATTCTGTCAAAGTTGGATTCAGGAGTGATACATTAGCTCTGTGCCAACATCAGGTTTGGTCTGTCATGTAAGAGATAGATTTAACTTATTCTTTATTGCCCCAAGCAAAGGAGAATGAAAGAGTGGAAGGTAAAAGGAGGCACCTTTCAGTTCAACATTGAGAAATCTAACAATTAGAATTATTTAGAGAGTGTTGATAACTAAAGTGTTCAAAGAGGGATAGCTATATATGAAGTAGAAGATATCCTAAATTTGTATGTAAAACCTCTTATATATCTGCTTTTAAGTTTTATATTATTGAAGCTTTTTCTTACTAAGACATTTGACATTTTTTAGATGAAAGGCACTGACAATTGAGTGATTATTTCTAAGTGCCTTTTTTGTATTTTATTAAAATATACAAATCAGTTTAAAAAGAGGTTATTTTCAGTGTAATACTGAAAATATTTACTATACAACATAGCTGTATACATCTCTGAATATAGCTTTGTTTTTCTTCTGAAATCTAACAATCTTCCTGACTATAATCTTTGTTTTAGTTATATTTTGAGATATCTCAAAAAGAAATTACTTTATTTAAGAATATTTTAACCATATTGAAGAAAATATTTTAGACAAAACATTAATTTATATAAATTCAAAACTAGAAGTGAATTCTTCAAAGTATACACAAATATGAAACTTCATTTTTCAACTTATAATCTTTATTATGCATAAAGCTAACTTTTAAAAAGCTCTGCAGAGTATTTAATAGTCGCACTTAATTTCAAAATACCTTAAGTCACCTTAATTTTAATAACTTTTTGAGTAGTTGCCAATTTAATTTTCAGTATGTGCAAATTGGAGGTAAATTATTTATTACTTCCAGCAAATGTCTTTCACAATTTTATTTAATTTTTTCGCCCTTTTTAATGGATCATAAAATGGCAGTCTTTTATTGAATATGCATAAAGTCAGCAGCAAATGAATATCTTGCAGATAGGTTTCTTTGGATTGAAATGTCAAATTTCATGGAGTATGAAATTTCTCAGATCAGAGTAGCTCTGACATATGGCACTGAACTAGTCCCCCATTTTGGAATTGTCATACATCTTTAAAAATTAAATAAAAGCACTTTGACCATTAGGCCTTATTAAATTTTATTTAATTGATTATATATCACAATACTATTTAATATTTTCTCATATGGAATAAATTTAGTTTTATCACAATTAATTGAGTACCAACTGATATTAAAATGCACTTCAAACAATCTTTTTGTTATGTTAGATTGTTTGGGCTTCTTCTATCTACCTATGTGGGGGAAAAATTTTTAAGTCTGGCATAAAGTGTGGAAGCAATTCTAAGCAATGCAGAACCAATTTATAGAAAAGGAAGTTGAAAGAGCTGTTAGTTCTCAGCCTTATCAGACCCCCTTGTGTTATCTGTCCTATGAGCGGGTTCTGTCTCAGATAGTTCCTTTTGTTTCATGACCTCACTTTCTCACCTGCCTGGCAGTTTCTTCTCAGATGCCACCTCAGGCTCTTCTTCTTGCAGTCCTTTATCTCTCAGTTTTCACAGTGATTGCATTTCTGACCCACAAACACATCTTCCCTGCTTCCTCTTCTTGCTAATGAGCTCCACAACTCCATTCAATATCTTTTCCTTAGCGCAAAACCCACTGTTCAAATGTCCATTATCCATATGTCTACTGACTCACTTAGATTTCCCATAGTCACCTTACAATTGAAGTTCCCAAGTTAAACTTTGTATTTTTGTTCAAACCTGCTTCTTTCTCTATGTTTTCTGTATAAATTTATCCACCCTCTTGTGCAAGATGGAACCTATGAAGTCATCTTTAGTTCTTCTTCCTCACCTACAAACAATAAATGTCCAAGAGAGGTGAGGGAGAACATCAATTGGTCACCTATACATGCCCAGACCAGTAGTCTAACCTAAAAGCTTTTGGAGTAAATGACTATGTTCCAACCCCCTTAGCCATATAAGCAAGGCCTCCAGGTCTTGGAGTCTTAGGTCAGTTTCATTTGACAGCAGCCACATTATACTAGACTGAGATTTGGAGGATAATGTGCAGTTATTTGGGTTGCCTACAAGATCTTATCAGCATATATTTTTACCATAGGAAAGGGAACTTTCTTATAAAAAACTGTTCTACTGATCCCTTGAAAACTGAATCAATAAGATTACCTGCAATAATCATACTTTATTATAAATCAAATAATCTTCCCCCAAACTAAAACCATGTCCTGTCACATGCTTCCTGGTACGTGCTTTAAAGTAGAGGAATTAAGAACTAGGAAAGATTATTTTTGGATTCAACTGTGCTTAGTCTTCAACAAAATAAAACATGGCATTCAGTTTTGCAGAATAAGCAATTAGGTTTAAGTTTTCTTTTTTAAGTAAGCTACTTGGCATTCTATGTTAGAATAGTTCAGAAGTTCACTTAAGTTGATATAAACACCCTGAGTTCTCATTCTCTTGTGGATTTAACTAAGCTTTGTTTTAAATGCAAAATGTTTTGAAGAGAATATTTTACAAGAAATATTATCAATAGGAGTATTCCTGAATTTTGAAGGAGAATTTTGAAGAAGTTTGCTAGTAGTCACTTTCCTGGTGGTTCTCTCTTGGTACAAATCCAAACTAAGTTCACATTGAGAAAAGAAGCACATTAAGAACTTTTGTTTCATCAAGCATGTGTAGTAAGATGGAAAGAGTTCAAAATTTGTAAGAGTCCTAGTTTTACCACTTTCGGCACAGAAATGAACATTTCTGGGCCTCATGTATCCCATCTATAAACTGTGGAACTACTTCTTACTTGAAGAGTTATTGTAAGGATTAAATGAGATAAATGTCTGAAAATGCCCATGATAGCATCTGGCCCATAGCAGGCACTAAATAATACCGCTCATCTCTCCTCTCTGGCATTTTTATTGAAATTTTTACCAGTACCTTGAGGTTGTTCTGTTTAATCATAACTCTCCTTAACTCACATATTTGGCACTCTATTCAAGGTGTAGAGAAATAAATCTTTTAAATCTAGCAAAATTCTACTAATTCAGAGTAATTTAGGCATAGTTTCTAGCTATTACTTTTTAGAATTTGGAATATTTTATGAGGATTGGAGCATAGCACTTTATAGGAGCCAGATTAACAAAATGTTACCTAGTACATTTGCTTTCATGATCTTGTGATGATAGTAATGTTTAGAGATAGGGAAAATAAGCTAAAGGGGAATTAAGGATATTTTATCTCTTTTTAGATTTTTTTTGAACCTGAAAAAAAAAATCTCAGCATTTTTACAGATTAAGGATTTTTTTCTAATTTATTTAAACTACAGTAGTTTCTCTGTATCCATGGGGAATATATTCCAAGATTCCCAGTGGCTGCCTAAAACCAGGGATAGTACTAAAACTATATATAATCAATTTTCCTGTACAAATATACCTTTCACCTAAAGGGAGCACTTTGTCACTTCTCTTTTGACATATCCAAAACACTACTTTTGAACTTTGGAGCCATTATTACATAAAGTGAGGGTTACTTGAACACAAGCACTGAGATAGGTAGATAATCAATCTGATAATGGAGAGTGCTAAGTGGCTAAATGGTGGGGAGCCTTGACAGGATGGATAAGCTGGACAAAGGGATGACTGGGTCCTGGTAGGACAGAGCAGGATGGTAAGAAATTCATCATGCTACTCAAAACAGCACACAATTTAAAATTTATCATTTTTTTAAAATTTCTGGAATTCTCCATTTAATATTTTCAGGTCACAGTTGACTGTAGACTTATCTAAGTAAAAACTCAGATAAGGAGAGGATTACTGTAAAAAAAAAATAACAGGGATTTCTGAATGTTTCTACTTACGTTAATACTTTTAGGAACAATTAGATCACTTACAGAATCGGCCTCTGGCTGGTCCAGTAGGAACTGGAACTAAGAAAGAAAAAAAGCTGGAATAGCTGATCAAAAGCTTGGACTTTTTAAGTAGACTTTCCGGTCAGTTTTGACTTATGTAAGGAAATAAAAATATCCCACAATATTCTAGCTTTAATTTATTTTTAATTTTTGTTTCTTCATTTTGTTTCAGAACTCTTGATGTTTCAGTGAGCTTTAACGGAGGAAAATCTGTCATCTCGAGCTCATTAGTAGTCACAGCCACAGAATGTGTAAGTACAAAGTTTGCATAAAGTTGCCTTTTAAAATAGTTCTATCCAGAAGTAACTTCCTGGTCCTCAGTGTTGAGCATACTATAGTCAAGAAGGTATCCTCTCTAATAAAGAGGGAATATGCTAATTGACTGCCACACCTTCAAAGATGGCGGTGCCCATAGCCACAAGATGGTGGCACCCAGTCCCTTGAGCCCCGCCAGGTACATGGCAAAGCCGGGCTTGCCTCTGGAGTCCCCCATCCCTCTCAGACCCTCAGGCAGCCCTGGGCTTAGGTAATCAGGGCAGGCAGAGGCTTGCACTACTGGCAGGGGCAGCAGCAGAGGTGTGATGTGAGCATTGCCTTCCCCTGATGGCTGGGTCCTCTCCTGTCCCCAAGGGCTCCCAGATCGTGAGAGGGGGCAGGCCAGGCTGAGGGACTTCCCCTCCAGTACATGAATTTTCATTCACTGGGCCTCTAGTATGTAATAAATGAGATCATTACGAGGAAAAATTTGTATAGAGTTTAAATTACTCCCTCCTCCCCAACCCCGTGGCTGCGTTTAAAGGGAATTTTCAGATAGTATACATTTTATTTTGATATTTATAAAATTCAAGTCATATTTAAAATAAAAATAAGCTATGAGAATGATTTCCAAATGAAGCATTTCTTCTTGAAATATTAAACACATGAAAAGAATGCTTTTTTTGTAATGAAGGTTGCATTGCAGCATCTAAGACATCCTGTTTTTGGAATTATTTGTGCATCTTAATAGAATGAGCTAATATTTTATCCATTTTACTGTTGGTGCTTTCTCATATGAGTAAGGAATTTGATTTTGATAGCTTGATAATACCTCAGTTTGCAGCTATATTTTAGTTGAGATGTTGATTTATATTACCCAAGATGCAGTGTTTTGAAATGTAAGCTCCATTGATAAAATAGTGTTTTCTTTGCAGTTAAATTTTTGGATTTATGGAAAATTTTGTATTAGATTGTTGTACATGGAAATAAAACACAAAAATGGACTGATCACATGACTATTATTTTTTCAAGTATATTTTCTCCCTAAAAACATGTAAATTAAAGCAAAAGGGAAAACAAGCATCCATATGGGCTCTCGGTTGCTATGAATGTCTCTGGATAGTTCTCTAAGTACCTGTATCTATTTTAAAATAGCTAGTTTTAGTCCCCCCCCCTCCCCTTTTTTTTTTTTTTTTTTTTTTTTTTTTTACCTATAATTCATGTTGTAATTTGTAGGCCTGGTGGATGTTGCAATTTGTAAGGCTTCTGGTCTGGTCCCTCCGGATGTGGTTGAGATTACAAACACTTGTGGTATAGCTCACTGTTAAGCTCACTGAAATGACATTCTTTCTCCATCCTTCTTCCTATTCTGCATCTCCAGCTGTCTTTTTTCACCTCTTTTCCACACAGGCAGGAAAAGATTTCTTTTCTGTATCCTGTAACATGATTGCAGTGTGCACGGATGCTGAGGCCAAATGACTCATCTGGAGTTTATACGTTAAGTTAGATGTCTTAAGGCAGTCTTTCTAGATCTTGCTAGTTCTCAGGAAAATGGAATGTGACTTTAAGTGGTTTAAGAGTGAGGTGATTTCAGGAAAAGGGATGTCGATTGTGTCATAGGTGGAGAGTGAAGGGACAAGCTGTGATATTAAATAAAGGATCAAAGTAATTTTCATGGAGAAGAGAGTTGAGAAAATACTTAAGGAAAGTGAGGGAGTGAGCCCTGAAAATCACTCAAGTGTTTCATGCAGAGGGAGCAGCTAGAATGAAGCCTGAGGGGACTGGGTCTGGCAAGCTGAAAAAAGCAAGGGGGCCAGTTTCCTGGAGTGGAGGCAGTTGTGGGGAGTGGGAGTCTTGAGATGAGTAGTAGGGAGTGGAGGGAAGGAGACAGATTATGCAGTTTTGAAAGTCAAGGTAAAGACTTGAGTTGTTCTTTGGAGTGAAACAGGGAGCCATTGAAAGCTGACTTACTATGGCAATGTTTTCAAAGGATCATTCCAGCTCTTATGTAAAATTATGCTTTGCAGGGAGGGTCCCAAGTGGAAACACGGAGACTGATTCTGTGGCTGTTTCAGTAATTCAATTCTAGGCAAAGGGAGTGTGGCTCCACTATGGAGATGGCAATGGAGATGGTGAGATGTTGTTGCATTGAATTTAAATTTATTTTGAAGGTGGTACCCATGGAATAGATGCCTGGAAAGATTAGATGTAGGTGAGAGAAAGACAGTAAGAATACTTTCACGCTTTTTCATCTGAGCAACTAGGGTGAGTTGTCTTCAGGTTGAGTAGTTTTTGGAAGAGGACAGTGGGTAATATTGTGAAAAATACACGGGCATTGTATTTAATTGATATCCAGTCTTTCTGGCATATTCAGATGTGATAATTAGGCGAGATGCACTTAGTGAGGTTACTCATTATAAGGTGATACTTTGAGTTTTTACAGGCACTCGAAAACCAAACAGAAGAAAACACCATTACTTTAGCAACTGATTAGTTCTTGTAGCAACCCCGCACATACAGAAGCTTAGCTCTGCATTCCAAGAACATCAGGGCTTAGTCCTGTGAAGGCACTTATGTCACTGAACTGTCATTTCCTGTTTATGCCTGGCCTTTCTTGGCAAGTCTTGAGATGTTGATGGCAGGGCTTGTGCCTTGCTTGTTGCCCCCTCCCTTGCATAGGACTCATTCTCCAAAATTATTTGTTCAATGAATGAATGAAAGGAGTTATATTTCTAGTTTAAATGTGGGCAATCTAAGGTTTAGATGGAAGAGATTTAAGATTAGAGCCTGAGGAGGGTAATTGGGCAGTCATTTCTCTTCTATCTCAGAAGATCTCTGAAATGTGTCTCTGTTTAAAAAAATACAGTTAAAAGTGTCTTCCCTCTCTCCTCCCCCCTATCCTCCTTGGAACCACTGCTCTTCTTCTGAATCACTTGGAATTACAATACTAAGAATGAGTTTTTTGAGCATGTATTAAACACAAGACACTGTGCTCAGCACTATATATGAGTTAATCCCTTCATGACTTCATGTGATACTCAAAATTCAAGAAGAGGCTTTTGGTTATTACTTTAATTTTACAGGTGAGAAAACCGAGGAATAGAGAGCCACCTTCAACTGTTAGTGCATATTTACATAAACATGTTAGAAGGTACTTTTTTCTGTTAGGTGGACCCAACCCTCAGCAGGGGTACATGGTTTGATGCACAGAACATGTGCTGATTTTAGCCCCCACTGTGCCGAGAGAGGGCAGGGTTGGAACCTAGAGGCTCTGGAGGTTAAATCACTTGGTCAGTTTCCCAGCTGAGTAAAGGCTAGAAATGAGACTTGAAACCAAGTCTGTCTTCCTCCCAGATTGAATACCTACACAACCTGCCATTGATTTTTATAAAACAGGGTGGTAGTGTGTGTGTGTGTGTGTGTGTGTGTGTGTGTGTGTGTGTAAAGTCAGGCAGTTAGCATTTTCAGGTTTGGGGGCTGTACTGTTTTTATCACTTCTACTCAACTCTGCCATGTTGTGCAAAAGCAGCTATAGACTTCTATAAACAAATGGGCATTGCTGTGTTCAATACAAATATGCACGTTGAAATTTGAATTTCATGAAACATTCTTCTTTTGATCTTTTCAGCTATCTAATAATGCAAAAAAACCTTCTAGTTTGTCGGAGATCTTATGAAATAGATGAGTTGATTTAACCTTTGGGTTACAGTTTGCTAATTCCTAATATGGAATATTCCAAAAGAATCAGTAAATGAAATTGTCACCTACTCCATGATTCTTAACCCCCAATTCTAACTTCATGGAAACAAAATTGTGGAGATCCATTTCACCCTTTCTGTGTCTGTTTTATTTTTAAAAAGGTTGCTGTGATTATTTTCTAAATAGATTAAAACATGCTATTTATGCAATTTTGGAATTTTTAACTGATTCTTCTTTCCCATAGTTATTTTGATGGTGTAGTAGTGACTCTGGTTTGTTTTTATATTTCTGTGATTCTCTTAGTTAGAATTTCAGTTATATTTGGCAAAGTTTTTGACTATACATTGTAACTTGCTTTTAATAAAATAAAGGAAATTAGATGCAGAGAAAGTTAAGAAATGTAACGTATCCAAAATGATTAGAGAATCTATTTCTTCTACCTTAAGATCAAATTCAACATTCTGATATAGTTCCAGTTAACCAGTAAAAAGAGTTTTAGCCTCATGGCTTTGACCAACATCTGGGTACTAAGTTGCTGACTGGACTCCTCAGTTAACTTGTATACCCTAATTTTTTTAGACATCTGAAAACGCTACTTGTTCAAAACTATAGTAGTAGTTAGAAAGAATTGTTCTAACAAATGGCCAATTGAAAGGTCATTGAACAAATGACCAATTCCTTCTGTAATAAAAGGAATTACTACTTTTTAGAAATGTGTGTTTCATATCTCTTCTTCAGCTTTTTCGGGTGCTAGCAGGTCCCTCAAACTCTGTGCTTTAGCCAAAGTTGTCTCTTTCTTGTTTTTGCAAAAATCCATTAATTCTTCCCTCCCTCCCTATCTGTTTTTTTTTTTTTTTAAATATATTTTATTGATTTTTTTACAGAGAGGAAGGGAGAGAGATAGAGAGCTAGAAACGTCGATGAGAGAGAAACATCGACCAGCTGCCTCTTGCACACCCCCTACCGGGGATGTGCCCGCAACCAATGTACATGCCCTTGGCCGGAATCGAACCCGGGACCTTTCAGTCCGCAGACCGATGCTCTATCCACTAAGCCAAACCGGTTTCGGCTGGTCTTTCTTATGATTCCTCAAGGAGGTCCTCTCAGAACCTTAGACCAGGTTAGCTCCCAGTTTGACATGTTTCTATCGTAGTTTCCTTATATACTACTCACATTTGTAATGATTTTTTTTCATGGTCTGTCTCTCCAACTAACCAGTGGGCTTCATGAAGACTTGTCTAACTTTGTAACTTTGTAACCCGTTTAACCATGTACCATTGAAACAGAAGCATGCCTA